CGAAATATCGAAGCGATTTTAATCTGGTGAAAATACCGAAGAGACGACGACTTTTGTCCCCGTTCCGTTTCGATTCGCTCCAATTGGATTTATTTATCCACGTCATTAAATCCTTTCGAAAATTCCAGGCGGAAACGGGGGAGAAGGAGGGAGGGAGGGAGAGAGGGAGGGATAAGCGGTAAAAAATATGCCCCATCCGCTCGCATATTTATTTATTTATTTATGCGATAGATCAGGTAGGCGGAGAAGTTGGACGGATAATCCGATTGTTAACTCGACATTTCGATAAATGATTTGTCTGTCTGCGTTTCGGTGGAGAGAAATATTTACCGGGGGGAGGGGGAGGGCGCGCGCGCGCGAAAATATGGCCCTGTCCTGCCCCCCCCTCCCCCCTCCCCCCTCCCCCTACCCCTCGTAAAATCTCGGCGCAATATTATTGTTTCATCCGCGATAAAACAGCGCCGCTGACATAATTTCATTTGCGTAGTAAACCTTAATTACGACACATGAAAAATAAAGCGCGCGCTCGCGCGCGAGACCTCGTCGTCCCTTTCCACCATGCGACATCTCTCTGTCCACGCATCCCCTCCCCTCGACCTCTCGCCGATCTCTCTCGAAAATTTTAACAAAGAGCGCCACGTCGCCGCCACTTCACAACGTCCATTAATAATTTAATTTCGGAACGACGACGTTATTGTTGCGCGTGATTTTTTGCGTCGCTAAGCGTGTCAACCGTTCCGTAAATTACTCGTTAAAAGCGGCGAGAAGGAGGGTGAATATAGCGGGGGCGGAGTGGGAGGGGGAGGGAGAAGGAGGGTGAGGACAAAAATGAAGATATACATGAGGGGGGAGGGGGGGAGGAGGAAAAAAGGAGAGGTAAACTGTTGAACGAGTGTTCCGATTCGAATCCTTTAATTCCTCCCCTCCTCCCAGTTCGTTTCGTAATTTGTAAAATAAAAAAGGAAAAAGAAAAATTCCACGACTCCGTTGTGGCGTTTCTTCAAAAATAATAATGATAATAATGATAAAAATCTCGAGAAAGGAAATGAGAGAGAGAGAGGGAGAGAGAGATTTAAAGGGAGGGAGAGCGAAAGTACGAGGGGCGCAAACCAAGATGAAACGCAAAAGAGGCTAGAAGATAAAAAAAGAAAGAAAGAAAGAAAGAAAAAAAAAAAACGAAAAAAAAAATAAGAACGAAATATTTTCTACTCACGTGTCTCTCCTCGGTCGAGCTGAGACCTGTAACGAGACAAATGCAAACAGTCGTCAGTCAAAAGCCGTGCGAAACGTTTCCAAACGGAGGGGGAGGGGATGAAAAAAAAAATGAAAAAATCATTTTCATGCATGACTTCGGGACGGCGAGATGGCGAGAGGTGGGAGGATGTTCAGTGGGTGGTGGTGGATGATGGGATGAAAAAGAAGAGAGAGAGAGAGAGAACAAAAAAGAAAGAACAAAAAAAAACTGTCGAAATTCTGGCCACCGCGCGTCGATAAAATGTTAATAACGTGCCCATAAAAGAGAGACAGTAGGGGAGGGTAGGGCAGGCTGCAACTATGTGTATGTGTGTGTGTATATATACGCATATGATACGCGCGCGTTGGTTGGTACATAGCGTGTGGCAGGCATAGCGTGGCGTGGAAGCGCGAGCGGCGCCCGTATAAATGATCTTCATGCATATTTATGCGCTTTTCGCTCAAAACCGCCGGTGTCCGCTAACAGGGTGACGCAACACGCTCACCCCCCTCCCCTTTCCCCCTCCCCCCGAAAGCGGATACCCGAAAAGCGCTTTGAAAATTTCCAGTCGAGCGAGCCGAGCCGAGCCGAGTCGGGTCGAACCGAGCCGAGCCGAGCCGAGCCCCGCACGCTCGCGCCGCTACATATTCTTTTTTTTCCTTTTTTCCCCTCTTTCTCTCCATTCCACCCCCATATACTCTTCCCTCGCTGTCCAGAGTGACGCATCCATCCCTTTCGACGGCGTATATACGCGATCGACTGGCGCTCTCTCTTTTTTTTCCGGAGAGGGGAGGGCAGATATATCGGCAAAAGCGGGATCAAACGGATGATGGTGACAAAAAGAGAAAAAAATCTATCCCTCTCCCTATCCCACGCTCGTCGACCGGTCTGGACGATTTGCAGCACAACGTTGAACTCGAGCGAGTGTAGGCGCGGGCGCAGATGCGATTCGTTGTGTGTGTGTGTGTGTGTTATATCGCAGCGCCACTCGAACGTGACCAAAGGCCGGAATTTCGTTAATTCTTTTCCCGCCGCGCTGCCCGCAGAGGTGGCAATTAAAATCGTGTGAAAGGGCGGAAGGTATGCGTATAACGAGTATCCCGGGGTTTTACGATTCTCGTGGGGAGGGGGAAGGAGGAATTCGATCGTGAAAAGGGGTGGCGTGTCATTCGCCACGCGGCGGTGGTCTTCTGCGGTTTTTTGGAATTGGGGAGGGAGAGATAATGCGTGGTGGAAGGTGGAAATTAACCGGCGCTAATTCTGGTAATAATTCTTTGAATCGGAGGAGGATCGATCCTTCGAAGGGTTGCGTGGATGTTTGGGATAGCTGGGATTTTGAGATGAGGGGAAATTTCGTGTAATTTCGTGTAAAAGACGGGTGGCTTTTGATTCAGAGCACGATCGTAACACACTTGTGCGCGTCACGTCATAATTAACCCTTCGACTTGTTTGTATATAAAACGTTGAAAGTTGGATCCGCGTATGATTCACTCGCGTGTGTTGTTCGCGCTTGTTGGAAATAGGCGGTTTGTTTAACGATTCCGTTTCATCGGAAGCATATTTTACGAGTAACGTGCTACGGTCAAACAATATCATCATCTTTATTATCGTCTTTGTTGACTTTTCTAGTAAAATGAACGAGCGCCTTTGTGCAAATATCGAGTAGATTTCATCCCGGTGTCTTCATTATCCCGATTTCCGTTTCGATGAAAAATTATAATAACATTTAATAAAAAAAAAAAAAAAAAAATACAAATCATTGGAAAAATATATAAACGAGCCTGTTTTCTAACGCTCTCGAATCTTGAATTTGAAACGATAAACGATACCAATCAACATATCGTAACAAATAAAAAAGGAGAGAAAGAGAGAGAGAGAGAAAAGAGAATAAAAATTGGAAATTATTTAAAAGGAAGGTCAAAGGGTTAAAAATGAAACGAAACAAGATTACCAATCGTTCACGGTTAATCGAAATCTACGAAAAATCTTTCTTACGGAAAAAGATAATGGGAAAATTAAGGTAGAAAAGAAAAAAAGAAGAAGAAGAAAAAAATCCAAAAAATCCAACTCACCACCGTTGCTCTTTAAATCGTCGGGCTGACGATGCAATTCCGGTTTACTCAACATGGATAGCGGATGAGCCGCTGTTGTGCCGGGTGCAGTGGCGGCCCCCGGCGTCAAGCCAAGGCTAAGAAGCGCGGCGGAGGCGGAAGTTGGCACCGGAAGTCCAGCAGCTGGTCCCAGTCCCGGAAGTCCGGGTAGCCCTGGATGAGCGCCTAGCGCCGTCCCCGGCGGCAGTTGTTGAGCATGCATTTGTTGCAGCAATCTTGATATATCGGGTCTCTGTTGCTGTAACAACATCGCGAAAACCGTAATTATAATTTTTCCATTCTTCCAATCCACGTTGTTCTCGCGTCCAACGAGTCGGTTAACAACGATTATACACGGCTGATTAAAATTAACAATTCACGTTTTATCAATCATTCTGCATACTTCGAACGTGACATGTTCGAATAAAAATAATACGTGTCCCATAAAAAAGGCTCGAACACAACGCGTGCCAATCTTTATCCCCCGAGATATATATATATATATATTTCATCGCGTGGTTTCCACCTAATCGGGATGAAATGTCATCTCCCCCATTCTGACGTCATACGTAGCAAGGGTGAAAACGAATCCGTGCTCGAGTGCCCTTGCGGACCGACCAGTGGCGGCGATCAGAGGGTCCCAAGACCTACTAGTCCGTAAGAAGCGAACGAGAAAAATAGAGAGGGGACGAGAATCGACGAATCGAGGGACGATAAAGCGGAAAGGAGACAGAGCGAGCGAGAGAGAATAGAATAGAATGGAACGAAAGCAGGACAGAGCCGTGCTCTGGGGGAGAGAGAAATCCAGGGTAAGATCAAGAGGGGATAACAGAGGCCGGTAAACTCGTTACGTGCGCGAATCATGCTTATCGTGGATTTCACTTAGGTATTTAGGATCGAGGGAAAGAGAGAAAGCGAATAGAAAAGGGACAGGGGGAGAGGGAATAACACACGGTGGAACGTAGGGGTCGTGGCCGCCTCGACGAGGGTGGATTATGCGAAATAACCCCTCTCGGGCTACGCGCCGATTGTGTACGATAGTTATTTTCCTGGACTGTCGCTGAATGGGCCAAGAGAGAGAGAGACGACGAGGGGTCGTCGCGGCTTTGCCGTGTGTGTATACACCTCGTATACGCTCTCTTCCCGCACCACTAGGTTTACCCCCTAGGGACGTATTTGCGCCGCCCTGTGCACGTGTACCTACTCCACGGATGTAGCTCGCAATTTGCCTTGCGGCCACTCGACTTCCGGCGAGGGGCTTTTGACGCGCGCAACAACTTTTTTTTTTCCCCCCCCTCCTCCTCCTTCCACGCCCCCTTTCTCCATGGCCGAGGCCCGTTCGACGAACGAAAAAGGGGGCGATGGAGAGATCGCGCGCGAGATGAGGAGAGGGGGAGGGGACCACTCGACGCCGACGTTCATTTTTCAGGGACGTAATCGATTTTTCGGGGTACGAAGCGACGAAACTTTTCGCGGTCGAGGCGATAGGAAATGGCGAAATAGTGATCTCGATTTTGAAAGAGGGTATTTGTTAACGGTTAAAAATAAGTTGGGATGGGATTTGTTTCTTCTTCTCGCAATTCTCGGGTGGAAATTGTGTGTATTTTTAATTTTAAGGGATAAAATATCTATGATGGAAATGTTTGAAATATTTAATTTACGTTTAAATATGTAAAAATGTGGAGTTGAATAAAAATTTTGGTTTTTTTTTTTTTTTTTTTTTTTTTAGTTTTTAGTTTTTACTATATATGTAAACTGTTTCAGGAATGAATTAATTTTACGGGAGTTGAACAGAGATTGAAAAAGTTTCTTTCACGAGCGAATAATACGATCGTGTTTACGAAAATACGAAATAACAATGGATTAATTTTTGATTCGATGGAACGGGTTCGACGAGTGTTGCTATACGTATAAATCGTAAAAAAAAATTGTTTCTTCGGCGAAAATGTAAGAGAAAAATATTATTATGAAACAGGAATTGATACAAAAATATATATATATATATAGTGAGATTAAGTAAATTTAATTTTTCGTAAATGCAAATTCTGTATTTACGACAAATACACTTTGAAACGAAATTAATGATGAATGTTATCGAAAATCCGTCCCGTTCTTTCACATCTTTCCTATCAATTTTTAATATAACCATTTTCGTTTATTCATTATACGATTATTTCGCGAATTTCGAGACTAAGATATCCCCGTATAATAATAATAAATAAAGAGGAAGAGCAAAATGAAATAGAACCGCGAGTTAACAATTACAAAGCAATCGTACGCGCCACTATTTCACAACCGCGTTTGTTTCCACGATATATAGATAGTTCCCCATCACCGTTTGAACCAATGTTTTTAACGAAGTGGAGGAACACGTTACGAGCGCGTTTATTTTTAAAAGAAAGAGAACGATCGTTAAATAATTTTATCCAAAGGCTTTCCAAGATAACCTTTCGCTTTATCTAAATTCAATTCGGGATTCGAAAAACACTCGAATCACATTCGAAATACATTCGACGGCTTACGTGCCAGCGACGTTAAGGCGGGACTTCAAACGAATCTACGAAAAATATAGCGTAACGATGACGCGGGATAATCGACTCGTTTCATTAACTCGCTCATTTACCGCGTATTTGCCGGAGAGGATTCACAGCCACTGAATCACCGTACAACTTTTCCACGCGATATACGCTCGCCCGATCCGAGAATACGATTTGCATAAATTATCATTCTTTTTTCTTCTTCTTCTTCTTTTTTTTTTTTTAACCTTCGAACGCCTACAGCAACGCGTGCACCACCATTACCAATCGCGCCGCATCGTGTATATATAATCACTCCCCGCTTCACACATAACAAAACGTATCGATTTACATTTCGACACCTCATCGATCGTGACACAACACCGTGTCATCCGCCAAACACGCGTGAAACGCCATTTATACCGTTCTCTCCCTCTCTCCTTTTCCACGGCGAAAACGAATGAAAAACGTAGGCAGAGAGGTAGGGAAAAAGCTCGAAAAGCGTAGTCGTGGTCATCGAACGAGCAATAATCGGGCGTTGTTCAAAACGGTACGAGGGGGAGGGTCGGAAAACGCATCGACGGCAAGGTTATTTCCATCGGAAATCGCATTTCGCCCAAGCAATTATTCCGTACCTTCGTTGCATGGAGAGCAAAAAAAAAAAAAAAAAGGGGAGGAAAAAAAACATTATCCGCGGTCCGCGATAAATACGCAGAGATATACAGAGAAAATCGAGGCCTGCACAACCACCACCCCCTCCAATATCCCCTCCCCCTATGGTATTCAATTCGGTATTCGAAGCAACGGAGGAGGAGAGGAGGAGCAGGTCGTGGTTCGTGCAGCGGCGGCAAACGAAACGTAATAGTCCTAAACGAGGTTTAACGCGGCGTGAATAATACGTGGAAAGGGAGGGTGGTAGCAGGGAGGGTTGGCTGGCCCGAGGGGTGGATCGGCACCATAGCGCGTTGCCCGAGGTGCGACTCGTCCATACCTGTGCGTTTAAATACGTGTCAGGGAATATCCTGTGCGCCTGTACAAATGCACCCCCTTGGTTGGAGGAGGGTTGGGATTGGGCTGGCTATCCTGTCTTCCTCTCTCTCTCTCTCTCTCTGTGTGTGCGTGCACGAAAGCGTGCGATACAACGCGGTGGAAAGAAGAGGAGGAGGAGGAGGAAGGGACAGGGAGATAGGGCGAAAGAGAGAGGCCCAATCAGGATGGAGAGAGGAAGAGAGGAGAGAATTGCGTTCCTGCAGTGTTATTAAACGAATATTGATTCAACCCCTGTTTACCGAGTAATACATATTCATGGGGGTTGGCGCTTATGTCTATTTGCCTCTGTCGTCCCTTCAGCCTTTAGCCCCTACTGCCGGCTGTCTCATCTATACCACGTATCTCTGTCTGCCTCGCGTTCGTTCCACCTTTTCATCTCTCGTTCTTCTTCGCGGATATCGCGCCTTCTCTCTCACCGCCACTTCGTTTCTTCACCCCTCGCTTCTTCGTTCAGCGTTTCAATCCCAGCGTGTCGACGCCTCCCTGTATCAGCATGCACGAAACGTACGTGCGAACGAGGAGCGAGTGCACGTGTAACGCTGCCGGCCTCACCTTGTACTAGCCGCCAGCCGGCGCTGAGTGCACGCGCTGATTATGCCAGTGACGCGTATTACGCAACTGCAGATCGCGGTTTGTGTCATGACCTCGATCAGACGATTTGTAGCGGTCGGCCAATGTGCGCTCGTTAAATCGAGGACGGGCCGAAATGTGTCCGATTTTGAATGTCTGCGGCAATCCTGTTCGGGGTTTTCTTTTTTTTTTTTTTTTTAAATTCGAAGTAGATCGGTTTTCACGACAGGTGAAGATGGTGAAGACAAAATGAAATGCTCGATATCGAGTGGCGAAGAATTATATTTCTGATTTCTCGCCCGGTAATACGATAAAAATTTTAACATTTTCTATTCGATTCGTCGACACGTGGCTAAATGTATTACGCGTGAGCATAACGCAGCAAAGAAACTCGATCGAAATTATCTTTCAAACGAATCTACAACAGGAAAGTTCGATTAACTCGTTCGATCCAATACACGCGCGTATAATTCACGGAACAAAGGGAAAAAAGGGACGCAACCACAATCCCGTTCGTTTCCAAATTTGTCTATAATGCGAGCGCGCATAAATTGCCACGCGTTTCAGAAATTTCGACTCGTGCTTTTCAACGGACGGCGCGCGTGCGGAAAGAATAATTCAAGCGTGGCGGCGGTGGGGGCCATTGCATTCGTTTAGGCCATCGGAATTATTCTAGTCGTGCACGCGAGAACCGAGTCGGAACTCAATTATACTCGTGCCGCGGCGGCCGAATGCCAATTTCGCATTCGTCGACCCCGCTCTGCTCGTATCGTCGTGTATGAGAAAAACGTTTCCCACCGGAAGTCTGTCATACACGAGTCGTCGTGTCGTCTCTCCGCGGTTAAAGGACGCGGCTCCTCCTAATACGCGCTTATCGTCCAAAGTCGGTGTGCTATCCGATGTATCGTTATCTAAGGAAATTCTAATTTTTTTTCCTTTCTTTTTTTTTTTTTACAACCACTATAATCTTAGATTTATAAGCAATAAATCTTAATAGTTTGGATAAGCACGATAATTTTTTCCGTTTTTCGAATAAAAACTGACGTTGACGGAAAAATGTCGCTTTTCGTAAATTATTATGAGAGGGGAAGGGAGAAAGTTGGTTCTGGTTTCCAAGAATGGATTTACGACGATTAATACGGTTCTATTCTTGAGAAGAAATATTCCTTCGGGATCGTGTGCGTCAAAATTTGTGTATGTCAACCTCGTCGAGGTTGTTCCATCATGCTTCTCGTTTCATTTATACTTTAACTTTTCTATTTATTTTAATCTCTTTTCCATCCAACGCTTCGTCCAAACACGAAAGATATAATCGGTTATAATATATAGAGAAAGTTTCGCATGGAACAGAAATTCGTTATTGAATTTAATAACGCAACTTTACACTTGATATTTATAAAACGTGTATAAAGATTTCTCTGACCGATTATAAGTAGTAACATTACACGCACTCGATTTTAGATTATTATGTAAATTAAATCGAGATCAAAAGAAGGGATGCTGATGTCGAGGGAAAAAAGTTCTTTCCTTTCTTTTTTTTTTTAAGTAAAGGCTGACGTTCCACCCGGCCCATAAGATAATGGACACATAAAAATGATTCACCTGACTTAACGACCTTAAATTACCTGCTCGCCGAATAAACGGCCGGTCGCGTGTCCTGTATTTTGTATTAGGTTTTTGCGTGTGCACACCCCTTTCTTTCCTCGGCCACCAAAATATATACAGCGGAAATTCTAGAAGTGTGGAACATGCGATACCTCGCTTCGAAGGTGAGGAAAGTATCGGGGTGTAAGAGGAGGGGGAGGGGGAGAAGGTACGAGGTGAAATGGCCATTTTGTACGCATAGATTAAGGGTTATTAACTCCATCGGGTTGGGATGAAGATGTGCGGGGAGGTGAATTTATATGAGTTTAATACACTTTTTTACCGAGGCAACGATATATAATGTATGTAATCAACGTTGTGTTGAATGAAGCAAAATGTGTCATTTTGCGCAAAGTGGCGCGTAACTCGAAGAAGTTAAACATCAAAAACCTTGTGATCAACATCGTATCGATTGGAAGTCATATTTTTTTACGCGTAATCGAAGAAAGGTGATTCCGTTGCCTGGATCCTAAAATTTTACGAAACAACACTTACGAAAGAACAATTTGGATTGCAATTATAATGCGTATATTCCAAATTTCCTTCTGATTTCAAAAATAAAATAATTGATGAAAATTCTTTGAATACGTTTTTACACGTTGGATATTCCATAAATGGCGGTTTCGATCGATTGCCACAACCTTTTCCACGGCGCAATTTCACGATGCACCTGTTGCGATATTCCGACGTGTATAACCCGCCGATCGAGCAACCCGCTCTCGTTCCTCGGAAAATTAGTCAATTACGGGGCATGATGCGCACTTACCCCAATTATGGAGTTCAGCTCCGTCATCGTGACCTGTTTCGCCCTATCAACAGCGGTCGCCACTTGCTGCTGATGCTCCTGAGACAGAAAGGGCAGGATCTGTCCGATGATCGCGTTCAGTCTCTTCGATATTTCGGCCTGCAACAAGAAAACGAACGACGTTGGTGACGAATATCTCCAGGTTTCCAACCAAACTTTTCTCCTCCTTTTTTTTTTAACTTGGTTTCTTTTAAATAGGCGAGCAGAGAACGTAACGTGAGCGCATAGAGGAAGTGGAAGGAAGATTTTACTTCGCGTGTTTGACACGTGCTTTCCAGCTGCCCGCCACAGAGCAATATTTTTGGCTCTCTTCTCCTCTTCCATCCTTTTAGTAGGAGAGAATTTCGAATTTTTTTGAATCCCTCCCTGAAAGGGAGAAGAGGAGGCTTCGACGATTCTTGGAAAACTTAGAGTGATGGAAAAGAATATATATATATATATATAAAGAGAGGAGGATTCAGGTCGGAAAGTTTGACAAATACTTGGCCAATTTCGAGGTAAAACCACGTTCGAGATCCATACGAATAGTTTTATTTAATCGGCCAGGTCATTAATCCTTGCGGTTAAGCAATACTGGATATTTTATATCGATACTGGTTGATACTCGATAAGCTAGTTTCGAAAGCTGCCTATATAATTTGAACGTATCCTCATATTTTCCGATCGTTTATTCCTACTATGTAATTAATTTCTATTTATTTGAATTTAAATTAATTATTCCTACTAATTTCAGTCCCCGAATAAATTCCATTTATTTCTATTGAACGACGCGTTTCGCGAACGCCACCACCTCGTGCGAGAAAACGAATCGAACGATTCGTCGAAAATTTCCAAACGCGTTCTTATTATTGTTCGTTTCGACGTCCTTTCTCGTGGCGTGATATAAATTTCGTGGAAAGACGAGTAGTGTTTAAAAATTGGAAATCCGTTCCGTGTCAACGTGATATTTTCAACGTCTCCTGTCAAGTGCGCGGAATGCGAACTCGCGATACCCATCGAACTCGCGTATTTCTAGACCGCGGCCCTCTATTTTCGTCGCGAGAGGCGGCGGAAATAAGCGAGGCGACCAGACACAAGAAGAATGATTAACGAGACGTGTATGAAAAGGTTCGCGTCACGGCTCGGTTTCGCCGGTTTAACGAGCCGATCCCTGCGATTTCCGCCTCTTTGCATAGGAAACGAAGCGGCCAATCTTGAACGGTCCCGACAAAATGAACGTTTCTCGTTATTTTTTTTTTTTTTTCTTTGTATTTATTACGAAAGCTTAGAAAGAGAAACGAAGAATTCTTTTCCCAACAAACTTCTTTCCCCAATGATTGGATTTCTAATATTGATCCTTTCCAGACTCTTTTCGCGAAAGAATAACGTGTCGAGGGAGGACATTGAGCGAGGACAGGTGTGGAGACAAGGTGTGAAAAGATCGTTGTTGGAGGATTATTAACGTTATCGTTAAACCTATCTATCCATCCAATTCGATGATCAGATTTCGTATCTTTAATTTCGATGCAATAAATATAATACAATGTATCTTAAGACTTTTGAACTTGATGATAAGTATAGAGTGACACAGATAAATGATAAATTCTAATAAGTCGTAACAGATAACGAATTAAACTGAGGCTATTAAGGAATGTAAGGGAAAAAATAATTTATCTAGATAGAGATCGGCGAATCTCTATAAGCCATTGATTATCGAGCTTCTCGATCAAGCCTTGTGTTTTGATCTCTTGCGCGACACGAATATTTTTCCTATACACTTCCAATAAATCTGGATCAGCATCGAATCACAATCGAACAAAATTAGAAAACTTTAAAACTTGATTGCGCTACGATCATCTATAATTCCGTATTTTCGTACGGGAAACGTTAAATCATTCTGCTTTCGATAAAAAAAATTTAGCAGAAAATTTAACCTTAAATTTACATTAATAACATATTACATTATAATTCATAACATTTTTAGGGACATTCTTGTTACCTCGATCTTAAACATAAATACGAGCGGAAAGCAAGTTAAATTATGGACAGTGGAAAAATATAGACACGAGAGAACGATTATAGATTTCTACGATCAATCGAACGCGCAAAACGTCTCCTCCTCTCGAAGTGGTGATCGAGAATGGTGAATGCGCGCGCGCGTGTGTGGCAAATGTTTATTCGGCCGCGTACATGGGACAAACTTATCCCCCTTAATGACTCGGGCAAACACGCGACGTTAACCGATGCGGGGCCTCGAGGAGAGGGAACGTACGGCGAAGACTCGTCGCCAAACAGAGAGGGGAAAAGAATATACACGAAGGTTGGTTTGCGCGTTAATTTCCCGTGGTGAGACAATGTTGTCGCGACAGTTGGGAGAGGCGACGATGAAGAAACTTTGCAGCAACGATTCCAGAACGGTGGATAGGGAGTAGTGATATTTACCTGTTTGTGCATCTCCACGTTCAGCCCGTACGACATCTCGTAGTACTGCAACAGAGAGAGAGAGAGAGAGTGTGTAAATCAGTTGATGGCATGCATAAGAAACATAGGAAAAATAGGGGGAAAAGTGAGGAACTTTTGGTTGGAAAACAAAAAAAGGAGGAAAGAGCGAGTCGAATAAATTACGTTGGAAGTTTAGTTTTAATTTTTAAACGGAGGATATACAAGGATATTTGTTCGTGCAACGAACATGCAAGATTACGCGAAATTGGTAATTACGACGATAATTTTTATAAACTCTTTGAGATTAATTATACCTCGTAATGATTTGAACTCTCGAATCCGTCGAGTCCGCGAACCGAGTTCGAGATGAGAAAAGTGTAAAGCAATAGGGATAAAGTGAAAAATGAGGTTTTTCGAGATTTATCTTCAAGAGAGTTACGAGATGGATTTAATGTAAATTAAGCGTCATGTGTTAGACGGGGCGTCCGTTATTTCAAAAATATGCACTTTCATTACGTGCAATGTCATTATATACAGTCGTTTCGTCATTTTGATGCTTTTAGTAGAAATAACAGGCGGTAATAGGTTGCATAACGTCGCTGTGTTTTCCCGATGATAAAGGAAAATTCATAATATCGCAGAAACGCATCAAAACACGAAAGAAGAAAGATAAAAAAAAAAAAATTCAACTACTTTAACGTCCACATAATATTCTCTCATTTTTCTCCGTTTATAATTACTTTTTCGAGGCGATGACAATAATTAACTTTCGCACAATATCCACGATTATACACACACACAATTGTATAATATTACTAAAATAGAAAGAACGTACAAGAATCCATCCTTCCTTCAAGAATTGCAAAACCTTTAAATTTCTACTACCATTATTATTATCGTCAAAATTACTAGGAAAAAAAAGAAACAAAACTGAAAGTTCAACGAGAATTGTGAAATGACAAATTAGAAAAATGAAAAATTGTTCCATCGATCTGCCCTCCTTTCCTCCTCCTTTCCTCTCCCCAAAAAACATCTTTCCAAGGCTGGACGAAAATAATAATATCGCGACGTTACGACATGGTAGAATTCCTCGATGCGAAGTGTCTTTCATCGGGTATGAACGGGCGGCGGTCGTTAGCTGGGCCGCGACGAGGCGGTCATAATTACGGTAAACGAGCATTTTACCGAAGAGGACCGTTTTGTAGCGTGATTACTTAACAGTCAACTCCGAAGTCAACTCAGCGGAGCGGTCATTTAGCATCGTGTCCATACGGTGGCCGCGGCGGCGTCTCTTCAGTCCCGGCAATTTAACATCATTTGCCAGATTCGTCCGCGTCTTCCTTCGTTCTTCTTACTTTCCTCCCTCCCCTCCTCTCTCCTCATTTTTCCTTTCTCCTCCTCCTTTTCGCTTCCTCTCGATCGACAGAGAAGCATCGCTCCCCCCCTCCTCCCCGCGTCATTAACATCCCCGGCTACCATTAATCTCGAGAACGAGCCCAGCTATATCCACCCTCCTCCTCTCCTCTCCTCCCGGTACGCGGCTCTGCACTTTCCGCGGTAACGCGTTATTAATTATCGTTAATCGCGATAAACTTAATCGAGTCTAGCCGAGTACACTCGAGAGAGGCGACTGTTGTATACGTATATACGTATATACGATTTTGCGCGAGGGAGCGAATTGGAGCAGGAGAGGAAGAGAGACGGAGCTAGGAGGAGGCGGAGAGTGAATAAGACAGGGTTGAAACGAGACAGACGAGAGAGAGAGAGAGAGAGGAGGGAGGGGGCAGAACGCGT